AAGCAATCTTCTAGAAAGATGAAACTTGTAGAAGATTGTGGGCTCTATTGATTAGGAAGTTGCGTATCTTTTAAGCCTCCGTAAGTTATTTCTTTCCTTATTTGACAAGTTAAGATAGTTTCCTAATTTTTTTAAGAGATGAAAGAGATTCTTTCCATGTGTTGTGAGGGTCTAGTTTTCCTAAAACTATGAAGGAATTGCTTGCCTAATTTTGAAAAATCTAGGAGACTAGGAAGTTAAGGAAAGTAGACATACCTTGAGTTCCAAACAAATTCTAATAAAGAAGGATTCTGTCCTCTATAAATACACATGTTAGTCTATGTTCAATTCCAATCAAATTGAGCACTGCAATTTAGCTTTTCAATTTTGGTGAGAAGCGACCTTTGTTTAAGATATTCCACAACTCCTTTTATAGAAAGAGTAGCTGGAAATCTCTATCCCAGGAAAGAGTAGCTGGAAATCTCTATCCCAGGTATCTTAGAATATCCCCCAAAGGTTAGGGTCCCTCTTCATATTTCCTTGAAGAGATTCTCCAAAACCTTAGCATGTGAATTTGAGGCACTTCCTACGTAAACTTGGAACCCTTCTTTCCCCCAACACATGCCAATCTCAGGTTTCGACAAACAAATTCAAGCTCAATTCAGGCCTAACCAATCCAATCTCTTGTACTTTACCTCATTACTATCCCTATCCATACACTTAATCTCCATAGTCCGTAAATCTAACTTTATCCCACTTTTTCCGAATTTAATCCAAAAACCAATCCCATCATCCCCTTATTTTGGTGGAAATGTTGAAGTGTAGCAACTTGAGCGTTCATTAAATGCTTGACTCAAAACCTAAAGCTTACCTTAACTTTACAAATCTTCCCATAGAGGCTTAGCTTATACTATAATCCCTTTATGCCTTCAACCATCCACTCCTACTTAGTATAGGAGACCTAAATAATCCAAATCTCCAAAAACCTTATCTAGTTAGTACTGAATAACCTACAGGAATCCCTTGCTTTCTAAGCCCACCTCATGTGGGAGCCAATCCCGTTTGCTACCATAAGAAGTAATAGTGAACTACTCATTTAAAAATATCACTTCTAACTTAACATGGAAGTGTTGGCCATGGAAACTACTATTGTGTGACTTCCAATTTCAATTTATGTTATAACATGCGAACACAAAGCGAATAAATAAAGGCAAACAAATAGAAGAGAGCATAACTCGTCGGACATGACATGCTTTTCATGAAAGAAAATGGAATAAACTTGAAGTTGCAAAGCCAAGTAAGGTAAAAGGCTGAATTGCATTGATATGGTTTTGTGCAATGAAAGTGGTCACATCAATGATAAATCTTGTTTAAAGGCCTTTACTTTGTTGATCCCGTCCAAATAGTTATTAAAGTGACCTACTGTAGTTAAGTTCATAGTGGTGAAAGGATTGCAACGACATCATATTATAAAAAGATAGAATTTCAAATATGTCACCATCATCATCATCATCCAAGCCTTATCCCAATTATTTGGGGTCGGCGAATCATATTCCTTCATTCTTATCCATCAAAGGCCATAGTTTCAGTAAGACCTCACTACGACTGGGTGGTGCAGCACGTCGCTTAAGGGGAGCGTCGAGCATATAACATAGGTTCAGAATTCATGATAAGAATTTCAAATACGTAAAACATAATTATCTCTATTAACAGATTGACTCCAAGCAAATACGTAAAACATAATTATCTCTATTAACAGATTGACTCCAAAAGGAGACTACCTTCACATCTGTTGAACATGCAATTGCCTTGATACTAAAAGAGTTGAATTATAGAGAATTTATTCAACAAACATATTCACAAAATCACCCTATATATTGTAAATTTACATCATAGTATCTAGATATAAAAACAGTTTTTACAAATAACAGTTTTTACATTTCCCTTTTCTGAAAGATGAATATATGAAAACCAGCAATAAAAAAATCACCATTATGGTGGAAATTTATTACGACAAATTATGGAGAAAAGGAGCTAAAATATTAAAATGTTTGGTAGAATAACTTCCCAATCCATCGTCGATGTGTTGATTCTACTTTAGGAAATAAAGTGCCATTATTTTCAGAAAGAACCTCTCTTAAAAATGTTTTGTAAAAGCAGTATTTTGAAAAACCGATAGGGTGACCGCTGGGTCGATCAATATGGTGATCGGGATTTGGAGATTCAGTAGGGAATCCATAAAAAGTAAGAACAGATTATAATAATTGTTGCCATTAGGCACTTCAAGGTCGTTCGAGAACTGGATAACCCCATCAACTATTTAGGCAAATAATGTTCTTTTCTTGCTTGGTTATTTGATCATTTACCATGAGAACTTAAATGCAAAATGGAATGTAGTAGCAACAATTACACAAAGAAATAACCTGTAAATAAAGGCTCGATAACCTTTCAATGTCAGATTCAAATGATGTTTGATCAAGCTTATCTTTTCCTTTCGATATTTGAGCTCATCAGTGCACCTTTTCCACCTTCCAGCAACTTCTACCTATCAATACCATGTAAATTTGTTAATTGAACCAAGATACATCTCACAAATATATTATTAATATTAGAATTGATCAAATTAAATAATTTAATTGGTAAAAATTTCATCCCCAGATGGCATGAAAGCTAGAGAAGGCAATAGATAATAACTCACTGTTTTCTAAAATGGTTGTTTATTCTTTTTGGGTAAATTAGAATGGTTGTTTCAACTTTCAAGTGTTCTAAGGACAAGCCAACTAATTAAAGCATCGTATAGTCATCCATTTCATGATTTTTAATGGAGTAGAATGTGACTAGACTATGTGATGTTAGAAAAGCATATTACTAGAGAAAATTTATTACGTAAAAAATCAGTGAACAACAGAGCTGATTTCTCTCCAAGTTCCAAGAATAGCTTTCTATTTTTTATGGTCCCTCTTGAATGATTTTTACGTACCTTTCCCATAACTATCGTATTCATTCTTGAGTGATTTCACTCAAAGAAATCCTCAACCTTTCTCATATCTATCATTGACAAGTAAAATTTTGCTAATGTACCGTGAAAGTGACGATAAAAAGAATTTTAATAATAATTTTTTTGTCAAAGAATTGGTCGAAAGAGAAAATAGATATGAAAAGAGAAAATAGCTATCAGCCATTGTGGATAACCAAGAAAGGGGCAGAGAACTATTTGATTTGGTTGTGTTTTGCAATGGTCTAGCTAGCATTGATGCTTATTCCCTTACTATATTGGACAGGTTTTTGCATCCAATAGTTAAGATTTCTCTCTACCCAAATCAATGGTTAAGCCTTCCATCTCTATAACTCTCTCTCTCTCTCTCCCGCTTAAAAAAATGATTATTTGGGCTTTTATTGAGATGTGGCCCAAAAAAAGAAAGAGACTGCCATATGTCATAGAAGATGGTCAAATGAATTATGGGAAATAAGACTGTTATAGTAAATAAACAGTGATATTAAATACACCAAAAAAGGGAAGAGAGAGAGACCATGAAATAAATGGTGAACATGATGCCTTTGTGGCCAAATCCCAACACCCCCACTTGGCCAAAAGGCCAAATTTATTAACGTTCCTTGGCCATAAGGTTTTTTCAATATAAGGTTTTTACTCATTTTGACATGGCTTTCTTGAAGGTTTTGTCCGTCTACAAGATTAGATCATTTATAGCATTGAGTGCCTCTTGAGAGGAAAATTTATATTTCTCTGAGTCCCATCATGGTCACATGCTTGGAGAACATTTCAATAGTCCTTAGTTAAGAGGTCTACTATTATATAACAAGAAGGCAAATAACTTATTGTGTCTCTCTTTTTTTTCCATTCTATCTTGGTTATAGTGTTAATCAACTTCTATGTGTCTCCCCTTGGAGCTGATTGCTCCACTTCTAATTAATGAAATTGCAGCTTGGTTGTCACCAAATAATTGAACTAGCTCGTTGGTTATTTCCAACTTCAAATCTATAACAAAGTAGCTTATCCAGATGACAAAAGTAGAAGCTTTGATACAAGCAATGTATTTTGCTTCCATTGTAGACCGAACAAGACATCCTTGTTTCTTGCTAACGAAGAAACATAACCTCGTTGGAAAGAGAAAATATGTCCAAAAGTGGACTTCCTATCATCAGGATCTCCTGTAAAGTCTACATTAGAGAACCCTAGAATTTCTAGGTTATTAGCTTGATAACAAAATTTATAATGTTTGGTTTCTTGGATATATTTAAGTATCCTTTTGATTGCTTGACTATGAGTGATAGTTGGGTTACTTTGAAATCTACTGACAAGTCCAATTGCAAAACAAAGTTCAAGTTTTGTACAACGCATAGCATACAAAAAGAACAAATAGCATGTTTGTATGGAATATGTCCATTTTAGCCTTATCCTCATTATTGATTGGACATTCTTTCTTTGATAACAAATATGAATTTTCAATGGTTTGCAATTTTTCATCTTAAATCTTTTAAGAATATTTTCTAGATATTTTTCTTGAGATAAGTAGAGAATCCTAGAATTTCTATCCCACATAATCTTTATTTCTAAAACATATGATGCTTCTACCATATCCTTCATTTCGAAATGTGAATTAAACCAAGATTTAGTTTTATCCATCATTTCTTTATCATTACTAGCTAATAGAATAACATCCACCCACAGAGAGAAAATTGCAAATTTACTCCCACTATTCTAAACATACACATAGTGATCCACTATGTTAGCTATATAGCCAATTTGGAAAATTGCCTAGATGATTGTTTTAGACCATACAATGATTTTTTTGAATTTTTATATTTTTCTCTTTGACTTTTAACCATGTATCCCTTTAGTTATTTCTTATAAAAATATTATTTTAATTCTCCATTTAAAAAAGTTGTCTCAACATCCGATTAAAATAATTTCAAGTAAGAATATGCTCCTAGCACTAATATTATCCTTATAGATGCGAATTTTGCTACAGGAGAATATGCCTCTACATAATCTACTTATGTTTTTAGTAAATCATTTGGCTACTAATCTAAACTTATATTTATCAAAAGTTCATTCAGCTTTGAATTTCCTTTTGAGGATGTATTTACATCCTATAGCCTTCATATCTTTAAGTAGATCTACAAGTTTCTATAGTTGATTTCTTACAATAGAGTTAATTTCATCATCCATAGAACTGATCCACTCAGATGACTCAGGTCAGTTGATTGCTTCGTTAGAGCTACACATTTCATCTATCTCATCCTCCTTAAGTATACACAATATTCATCTAAATGGAGAAGAAGAGCTCTAGATCTCTTCCCACCCTCTTTATTTTTGTTTCTCACTATTCAAGTTTTCTTAAAAATGAGCATCACAACTCTCAATCAAGCTTCTATTGTCGTGATCAAAAAACCTAACTCTTAGAGTTATCGCAATACCCTATAAATGAAGATTTAATTAATTTACGATGGAATTTGTCTCTTTATGGATATGGGATGAGCACATGCGCAAGTCATCCTCAAATTTTTAATGTACTTAGATTTGGTTTTCTTCTTGTCCATAGTTCATAGGGGTCAATTATATAGCCTTTGCTGGCATTGCTCAAAATGAACATAATTGTATTGATAGCCTCTCCAATAGAATTTAGAGCTACATTGGCATGACCCATCATAGATCTAACCATATCTATTAAAGTCCCATTATGACTCTCAGCTGCACTATTTTGCTGTGGGATATATTGTAAGGTTGTTTGATGTATTATTCTATGGTCTCCAGTAAAAATTGATTAATAAATTATGAGGTGTATTCTCCTCCCCTGTCAGTCCTTAGATTCTTTTTGTCTGTCCAATTGAATTTTCATTTCTGCATTATATTCCTTAAATGTTTCCAAGGCATTGGGTTTTTTACAAATCACGTACACATATCCATACCTAGGGTAATCATGTATAAATGTTATAAAGTATTTCATATCTCTATGTGTCTTGACATGCAATGGTTAAATAATTCTTGGGATTTTTGTCTTTTAGGGAATGGCTTCCTTATCAATTTTCCTGAAAGGCACGGTTCACAAGTTTGAAATTCAATTTCTCTAAGATTAGGAATTAATCCTCTTTTTACTAACTTTTGCATTTTATCTTTATTAATATGCCTTAATCTCAAGTGCCACATATATGAATAATTTTCAGTCACATTCATTGCCATATCGATATATAAATAAGTAACAACATTCATTCCATCAACAACATTAAGATATTATAAGTTTTCCAATTTCTCCCCCTAATCATAAATTTGACCATATCTCCTAATAGACACCTTTCTAGACTGGAAATGGACTTCATAGCCGTTTTGATATAAGCTAGGGATAGAAATAAAATTGCACCTCATATTGGGCACAACAAAGTACCAATGAGGAAGAAATTTATATTCCTAGGTAACTCTAGCTTGTAAGTGCCAACACCTAGCACATCAGAAAAGGTGTCTATTTGGTTTTGACTTCAAGTCGACAAAACCATCGCTAGTTCTTGAAACATGCTTAGTTGATGCCAAGTCCACCCACCATCCTCTGAAATCATGGTTAGCCACCATAGACTCAAAACCCACACAAACTGGGTCAAGCTTCTTGTTGTTCTTGTGGTTGCTCCTCTATTCATTGTTCATGTGGTAGGCATTATAGGAAACATTTTTATTGGGACATTTAGGTTTAATATGCTCTATCCCTCTTCACTTATAACATTTTCGCGGGTTATTGAAAACCTTTTCTCCTTGCAGTTTAAAATCTTTTCCCTTCGCTTTAATCTCTTACTGTTATTTCAATCATTATGAGACCTAGGATGGTAATTTCTAGAGGAAGTTCGGGAAAAGTGTGATTCTACATTTCCCTTTTTATTTCGTCTTTCTTCCTCTATACAATGATTACGGGTTCTCATGAAGGAGGGAAACTATTCAAATACTATTGACACTTGCATCCGAGGGGGAATGGGGTTTCATGTTGCGACAAGGTCTTTAGCAAGAACAATGATCTTGTTAGCAGGCTCTACTACACATTCATTTTCCCTCATCCTACAAGAATTATATTTTTGAAATAAAATTTGAATATATATGGGTTTATGATACAGATCTATTCCTTTCTATCAATGCTTTCGGAGGTTTTATAATATTCAAATACCCTAATCAAATCAGCCACCATAAAAGTAAGCAAGGTAGTTACCCTAATCAAATCAGCATGCATAAAAGTAAGCAACGTGGTTTTTGCCAGTTTGTCATCTTCCCATTTTTCATGTTGTCTTCTACTTTAGGCAGTGGGGTTTAAACCCAATTCAGGTTTAGTAGAGCACAAAATACAATCCATCTTGCCTTGAATTAAGATGTAGTTCATTTTTCTTTTCTATGAATTGAAGTTTGTCCTGTTAAGTTTTTCAATTTTAGATAGTTCACTTATCATCAATCTAGCAGCCTTGATACCAAAAGAGTATAGGAATATCAATGAAATTCAAAGTTTAGATCAACTGACCACTTTCTTGATAGATGATTTACTGACTTTTCGCATGATGATGATGATGGCACCTCTCTAATTGACAGTGGGTCACAATTCCCCCTTAAGTGGAACAACAGGTAGTGACCTCAAAAGAATTCCTGATGACTATGGATTGGCTACGGTTTAGATGGTTCTAGCATTTTGCCTAACAATTGGCATGGCAGGCCAAAAAAAAAGAAGCCATGTGCAAGAAAAGACACAAAAAATGTTTTACATATATATATATATATATATATATAGAAG